TAGGTTTCAGCTCCTATTATTCTCTATACGCTCATTATCTCTAATAAAATTATTTTCTGGCTCTTTGCGCAGCCAGCATTACTCCATAGCTAATAAGCGTATGTTATGTTTTTCGTCCCAAATTGGGCGACAAATAATATATTGAATACCTTAACTTTGTAAAATATCTTAATGTTTCTGGTATTAACTAAAATATTAGTATCGCATATATTTAAGAAAAACGTGAAAATTTTATTTATACATTTATTTATGTAAATTCAATTCATCCAAATTTTTATACTTTTTTTTAAATAAATTATTAATCTACTTGCCAACAGTCTTCTACTACAGCAGTCTTTTACTCCAACAATCCTAAATCTTTTTTAATCTTCTCTCAATAATTTTTTTTTTTTTTTAAAAAAAAGAGACTTGCAGAATCACCAAATATATCTATCTATTAGGAAAAATGTACACTCCATTCTTCGGTGATCAACAAATCTGTGCCTTTTATAATAATTACATCAGCTGAAGTTGTAGCAGCAAAGCCAAATTGTAATTCCCGTTTAGAAAATTTTGTGCCTTCGATGAAATTTGCAAAAATATTCGTAGGTTTTACATCAAGTCCTAATACTATTATTCGTTCAACACGAACGGAATTAATTGATTTTGCATATAAATTTTTATCATTCTTAAGTAATGATAATGATTCGGAAGTAAGTATTCTAGCTTCAAAGTTAAATTGAAGGTGAACGAAATGTCCTTTTTCGTAATCATATGTTTCGCCATCATCTAAATACAGAGAGCCAGTTGCTTTACCCTTCAAAAATAATAATATATATTGTTATTACCGAGGAATTAAAACAAATAAATATAAATGAAACACTCACATTTTTGTCTAATGCTATCAATAAAGTAAAAGGATCTGTACGCATGGCTGCCGAAGAACGTCGAATTCTTTGGCGCTTTGGAACAATAGATCCACCACGTAAAAAGACAGGAATCTTGTTTAATGGGGCTTCAATTTGTACTTTACCAGTTCCATGAATTTTTTTAAGAGTAAAATAATCATAATATATCTGAAAATATTCATCAAAAAATATAGTGTTAATAAAATTACCATAACTATATAATTCTATGAAAATATATCTCACCTCATTTCCTGGAAAATAGACTTCAGTAGATGTTTGACCTTGATTTACAATAGGTTTGACAAGCAAGGAGTTACCGACAAAGAATTGATCGTCCATTGCATAAGTTTCTTCTTCTTCAGGATAAACAGTAAATATAGGTCTGATATACAATACACAATAAGGCATCGAAGTTAAAGAAAGTAAACACAAATAAATGATATTACACGATACCTTATTATTGGCATCCCTGTGGTACTAGCTTCGTGGAATAGAGTATACCATAAGGGCAATAATGCATATCTTTCTCGTATTATATCACGAATATAACCTGTGTATGGATCGCCAAATAGCCACGGTTCACGTCTTTTTGTATCTATGTGAGCATGTCCACGGAAGAAAGGTTGAAAAGCCCCTGCTTGGTACCATCTAACTAAGAGTTCAGGCTCAGGGTTACCAAAAAATCCACCAACATCAGCTGAAATAGCATTAGTTAGCATATATACAAGGCATTTTTTTTACAAAGCATAAGTTGTTCGATTAATATACTGTACCTCCAGAAAATGGCAATCCAGAAATACCAATAGTTAATAACATAGGAGTTGATATAGCCAAATGGTCCCATTTTGCAAAATTGTCGCCTGTCCAAATAGCACCATAACGCTGAGACCCAACAAAAAATGCACGGGATAGTACAAAAGGTCGGCGTGGTGGGTTACTGCGGTTGATGAGTCCTTTAGCAGTTGCACTATGCTACAAAAAATATTAATTACATCAATAATTTATCCTATAAAAGGATAACACAGGGAAATTTAATTAAGATTTACATAGGTAAGTCCGTAAAGATTGTGCAGGTTGCGATGTTCCCAACCACCATAATGAATGAGATCTTTTGGCATTGTTATTTCCGGACCACTAAATACAGATGGCTTAAATTTGCGAGAAAAAGATGAATTTTAAAACAAAATAATTTATCTTAAAAGAAATCTCATATGTGAAATAATAACCATACTTCATTCATATCATTCCATATAAATAAAAATTCAGTTGATCCCTTTTTGGATTCGGTATTAAAGAAAACGGATTACTATCATATCTTAAAAAGCAATAATTGTTTGAATAGTGAATGAAATCAACTTACTTTATATTGATCAAATGCAAACTTTTTGATCCACCATTCTTGAGCAGAGGGATTAGTGAAATCTGGCCAAGACGAACTACCTGCATTGGTATAGCTTTTAATAAATATAATAAAATAAAATGTATAATTAATGTGTAAAGCCTAATTAAAACTATACATACCTGGCCAACACCATCCATTGAATACTCTGCCGTCAGATTCTTTGATAAAGAGGTCTAAATCTCCAGCTTCTTTATGAACATAATAGTCGTTATCTATTTTTATATGTGGATCAACGATCGTCACCATCTATGCAAAAAATTTACATAGCATTATAACAGATTATCATTGCAAAAAAAAAAAAAATTAAATAAGTTCAAAGTCTTCATCATAAAAATATACCTTCCGCCCTTTTATTCCAATAGTATTTTGCATTTTTTCAGGAGAAGAAAATTTAACATTGTCCCAGGTAAAATATTTTTTGCCATCGGTATGCTCAATATCTAACCATATTACATCATAAGGAATATCATGTTTGTCAAACCCTTCATCTACTTCGGCAACATCATCTTGGTTGAGGTAATTCCAACGACACTGATGATAAGCAATCGCAAAAGATTGAGGTAACGCAGTGAATCCAGTAAGTAAGTCATATTGACGGAAGATGTCGGAGGCTGTTGGACCAAGAAAAGCGAATACATCGATAATACCAGATTCCGAAAACCAATGAGTATTGGTTGAAGTGGGTGTTAATTTACCAAAACCAAGTAGACTGGATAGTCTATGCTAACAAATAATAAAGAAGAATTAACATATATATTCTCAGAGCCTCATTTACTTACTACTAGTTTTTTATGAATATGACATTAAATACTTTATCCTCTTTATTCTTAGTTACATCAATCCATGTTTCAGCCGCATTTAACCAAAGAATAGCAGCTGATGCACCCTTTCGATGGGCCATCATAAACGGAATGGAACCGTAAAGTGCCATTGGATTATCTATCTCATATTCAAACACATCCAAGTTATATAAACGATAAGGATCAGTGTAGGCACCGTCACCCCCTCTAAAATAGAGAAAATAAGATAAGTCATTCGAAAGAATAAACGTCAATGATTACTCAAATATTGTATACCTGGTTTCTTTTAATGAAAATGTTGATGCGTGTTCAGGAATGCCATATACATGACCGAATCCCGGAAACGAAATATCAAGTCCAATAGATTCAGGACCTATTTTACGAGGATTAAATAATGATATGAATAATTATTTTTCGAATATAGTAAATAAATGTAAGCAGAGATACATTACCATTTGGTTTTGGATCCTCTTTTCCATTAAAAGATTCTTTCCAGAGATCTTTATCAATATCATTTTCTTCTATGACCTTATTATTTTCACTGTTACTTTGATCAACTAAACCAGGAACTTCTTTTTTTCTTAAATGCTCGAAATTGAGGAAACCACGATCATTTAATGTGATAATTGGCATATCATTAACCAAAAATTCGACACGAAACGGAGAATGATAAATTGAAACCATTTGTTTTCTTTCTTTGCCGAAAGATAAAGAAGTAACCCCAGGTTTAGTAGAAGGGATTAAAGTATATTCTAAAGTAATCAATGGATCTTGAACAAGGGCCCAATCTTTCACTTTATCATAACGAGGTTTTAATGGCTTTTTTTCATTAATTCGAACTCTTGCAGCACCAATATCCAGTAAATACAATTCAAAAATGAAAAGTATATTATTTTCAGAATTGATAAGATCACCAGAAATTATACCATCTTTGATTATGATAGAACCTTGAATTACAGAATAAGGAGATACAAGCGAATGATTCGCAGTTAACCTATCGGCATAAGCTCGATTACGTTTACAAAAAGAGCTTTGCTCGCATATTTTAAAATCTTGTCTCTTTACAGCTGTAACAACGAGGGGAGATATGATAAAGTATAAAAAGCAAAAAAGATAAAATATAATTTTAACGGATGTTCTAAATTTTAAATTCTCAAGCAGGAATTTCATGATCTCGAATGATGAAAAAAAAAAGACTGTCAAATAATTCTATTTACGATAATTAAGAAAGAAAATTTAATTTATGATGGTCCGTAGATCTATCCTTTTATACTTTTTATATGCACGAATTTTTTTAACGTTAAGCTTGGCAGGAGAAAAAACTTGAATTAGCCATACGACAGATACATTCGAACGTTATACATCGAACTGGTAGTTCTTAAATTAAAAGTTCAGCTACTATGTTTTATGCCAATTCTATAATAAAATTTTTTAAAAAAATTCCATTATGTCGTCAAGAGTCAAAACGTAGCTTGAAAGAATTATTTTTTATTTAATTATTGTCGCTACGTATCGTTATTGTTATTATGCTTGTTACTTATGTTTTACGCATCGGACCCAACAGATATATCTAAAAATATACAGTACTATTTTATTATCGTTATACCAAGACCTTTTATCTGTAATAGAAAAGCAAGTTATTATTCAATATATGTATATATGAGTGTCGCTAAAAGAAAACCCGACAATTTAAATATATGTCATATTTAAATTGTCGGGTTTTCTTTTAGCGACACTCATATAATCAAACAGGAAATTTTACTAGTTTGACAATAGTTTTAGCAATTTTTATAATAGTCAATAATGATAAATGATAATATTAGTGTAAAGCCGGGTACCCTATATAGGATAACTTTCTCGTGATTGGTCGATCAGTGAAATTAAAATAATTCGCTATGATTGGTCAGATGATATAA